AAGTGGGGTCCCCAACTTGGTGTCCAGGGCAGTTTCAAGGGTCTTTGCATCCCTGAAACTGAAGACAAACTTGTAAAAACTAAACATTTTCTCTAAATAAATACTGTATAATAATATATGTACAGTGACAGAAAATGCTCAGCCCAGTGCTGGCAAAGAGCAGGGACTCAATGTAGGTTCACTGTGTAATAACAGCCAGTTTTTCATATTAGTTATTCAGCTTTTTTGAATTGTTTAGGAGAGAACTGGCATTCCACTGTATAGTCAGGTTCAGGCTGTAGCTCTCTAATGTCCCAACCACTGAAGGCCTCTGTGTATTGGGCCATTTCTGTGAGTCTGAGTGGAGCTCCATGAACAGATATGAGTCTCTTTCCTTCTCAACCCCACAGTCTGGAGGCTTTGGAGCATCCTTACAGCTCTGCTTTAGCCACCAGGAGGATGCTAATGATGCTTGGGGTGGTGACAGAAGTGATTGGGCTCTGGAGGATACCATGAAGGTTGTGAAAGAATAGAAAGGGTGGTACTAGAAGTCATAGTGATGGTGGCCTAAGCTGCTGTGGTGGTGACCGCAAAGGTGGTCCTGGTACAGATTAGTGAGGATGAGGAGGAATGGATTATCACAGTGTTTATTTTTGGTGCTGGGGATTGAACCCATGGTTTTGTGCATGCTAAGCGCATGCTCTACCATCAATACCAAGCTACATTCCCAGCCCTGCCAGTGTTTTGAGTGAAGTATGATAGAGGGGAGAGATGCCAGTGCTGTCACTGCAGCCAACGTAACCAACCCCAAGCTGCTGTTTCCTCACCTCAAGTGCCCAGCCTCTCCTGGGAGCACATGGGCAGCACCTGACTCCTCAATCAGGAGACCCTTGGCAAGATCCTAATACCTGTCCCCACTCTACACTTAGTCACCCAGTTAATGGGTCGCAGAAAGAAAGGCCTTCCCCTGGAAGTCTTAGCTAGGAAGAGGGGAGGGGAGGGAGAAGAGGGAAAAGAGGAGTGAAAGGAGGAGAGAGAGAAAGAGAAGAGGAGGAGGGGAAGAAAGGACAAATGAGGAAGGAGTGGAAGAAGAGGAGAGGTCAGGGAAGGAGAAAGAGGAGGGAGGAGGAAAGAAAGGAGAGAGATGGAAAAGAGTGAGAGAGAAGAAGAGGGGGAAAGAGATGCTAGAGAGAGGGATAGGAAGAGAGAGAAAGGAGAGATGTCCAGAGGAGGAGGAGGAGGAGGGAATAGAAGTAAACAGAGGAGGAAGCTAAGGACAAAGAGGACTAAAGCCTCTGGGGACTTGAGCAGAGTACATGGGGCAGGGCTGAGAAGTGGTCCTGGGTGATGAGGCCATAACCTTGTAGGGCTGGGCTGGGCTGGGCTGGGCTGGGCTGGGCACAGGCCCCCTTCCTGGAGTCAAAGTAGGCTCCTGCTCCGTTGCTGAGCCCTTGAGTCATCATCAGGCCATTTGAAAGCAAGAGTCCCTTTTAGGAGATGAGGCCTTGCCTCATCTGGTTTCTCTGGGATATGGAACTGTAAAGGAAGAATCTGTGGAAGCCACTAACTAGAAATAGGCTGGCTTGAAATAGGGCAGGCAATTGAGGTAATCGCTGGGAGCATTTGAGTGGCCGGGCAGAGCTAGTGGCTAGGCTACACCAACCTAGCCTAGGCTAGAGGCGACGGCCCGTGGGAAGGTCCAGTGGTGCCAGCAGTCCCAGGGGCTGCACCGCCACCTGCTGAGCGGCCCAGGCAGTCCCAGGTCTTGCGCAGCGGGGCTCACGCGCGGGGCCACGGGCACGGCTAGCAGCAAGTAGGAAGGAGGGACAAGGAAGGGTGCGCAGGTGAGCGCAGGCTGGTTGCTCCCCGGCGCGCCAGCCTTTCTCGCCAGGGAGTTGAGAGCCCGGGTAAACACCAGGCGCGATGTGCGCGGTGTATCCACGGAGAGACAAAGCCAGGGCGGGGCGGGGGCACCGCCCGCTAAGCGCGGGCGGGGGTGTGGGCACAGATTGGCCTCCGCTGGCGCGGGCTACCCACCGCCTAGGAACCGTCAGACCAGCCCGCGGACAGGTGGAGCGGGGGCGGGGCGGCGGTCGGGAGGGTCCCGCCCCGGGGGTGGGGCCGGGCGGACCGGGCGGGGCGGGGCCGTGCTATGCAAATGTCGCCCACGGGCGGCCAATTGCCGGCGCTCCTCGCGCGGCTCCTAGCGCCCCGTCCCGCCAGCGGCCGCGAGACCAGAGCAGCTAGCGAACGAACCGCAGCGGTCCAGAGAGCCCCGAGCGCAGCATAGAGCCAGGGCGCGCCTCGAGGAACGGTGCAGCTCTGCGCGGCTGCCCGGCCCCAGTCCAGCAAGCCTAGCGAGCGCAGCGCCACAGGGCCGAGCCGAGCGCGCGCCACCGCCCGCGCCCCACGCTAGGGAATGCGCCCTCGGGGCGCCGGCCAGGGGGCGCCCATAGCCTGCCCCGGGGGAGGCGGCTCCGAGTGCCCCTGAGCCTTCCCATGGCCCGGGCTGGGGCCCGGGGCCTCGGCTGCTGACGTGCCCGAAGCCCGCGGAACCAGTTAAGCCGTGGCTGTGGTGCGGATCCCGGCTCAGGCGCAGCGACCAGAGGGCGCGGACAGGGCCATGGCCCCGGGGGACCGCTAGTGCGGGCCGGTCCAACGGGAGCTTCTCCGTTGCCGCCGCGGCGGCCGCCGCCCGGGAGCTCAGGCCCCGCCGCCGCAGAAGAGGTGAGTGCAAGCGAACCCGAGGGAGTGGGCAAGCAGCCGGAGCACCCCGCGACCCCTCTGGGATCCGTGGCATTACAACTCCGAGGAAGTGTCCAGTGAGCGAGACTTGGTTAGCCGGGATACTGCCTACAGATGCAGGAGGCGACAGGACTGGGGTGGGCTTCGTACCTGTCCCGGCGGCCCGGACCCCTTAGCTTTGGGTGATGTGGCCTGCGGGGTCACCAGTGTGCAATGCAACTTTTTTCCCACAAGGTTCTGGGTGAGTACCCTCACCCTCATGCTCCTGGAGCAGATAGGTGTGCATTCTGTTTCTGTTCTCTCTCCCACTAACGCCTGAGGCAGCAGGCACTATTCCTCAGTAGGTATGCCTGCCCTGCCTCAGTGTCCCTAACTGAAGAACAGGTCAGCACTAAACTGTGAGGGGTCGCCCACATCAGCAGGACAGAAGAACCTGCCCTAGAAGCTTTTCTCCTAGCACTTTGCCAGCCCCTGAACCTCCAGCTGCATCTCGGGTTTGCTTTTACCTGGTTGGGTTTAGGGGTCCCCCTGTAGGGGTCCCAGCTCACCTACACCCTTGTAGGTGACCCGGCCGGAGCCTTCAGTCAAGCTTCAGTTTGAACCAGGGATTCCAGTGATGAAGTGGACAAGGGACAACAAGGGCTTGTTGGGCTTGCCCTGAGCAGGTGGGACAGGAATTAGGTGTGCTGGCAAGAGGAGTCCTTTGGAAGTAGGACTGGGGCCCAGGCTGGAGAAATAACTTTTAATTCTTGAGATAGCTGCATTTTGACACCAGCCCATTAACGCCTGGGGAGAGGGCAAACTGAAGGCACCAGTGTGTGGTGTGTCCTCCCTGGAATTGGGCCAGGTTGGGGGCGCCTGTCCTCCTGAATATTTAGTTTTGGTAGTTACAGAGATGGGGAAATTGCACCCAGGGGTTGGATGGAGCTGGGGTATACCAGGGGGTGTGCCTGGACTCTGTGGGCTATGGTGTCTGGGTAAGGCAAAGGCACAGGCACACCTACCCTTTCTGCTCCCCCTCAGTTCTAAAAGAGCCAGGCCCGGAAGTGTGGAGGTGGGGGGGGGGAGGTGGGGGCCAGAGAGAAGGCCAGCAGCCTAGCTTCAGCCCCCACTGCTCTGCATACCTTGAGGGGGGGGAGATGGAGCCAGGCCCAGGTGACCTTGACTGGGAAACCCTGGCCACAAAAGGGGGGGTTTCAGTCCCAGCTATGCTGGGCTGCTCTGCTTCCTGGTCCATGAGGCGTTGGGGGAGGGGGAGGGGGAAGCCCAGAAGCCAGGGAGGAGCTGAGGGGGTGTATCTGAGGGGCTGGGTACCTGGTGGGGTGTTGTTTAGAATTTCCTCCCCATGTCTCCCACAGCCCCTGTTCCTGCCTCCCTTACATCTAGGCAATTCTCAGCTCAGAGCCAACCTCCCTTCCCTGGGCATGCTGTTCACCCCACCACCACCACCACCACCACCACCACCACCACCACCACCACTACTACACACACACACACATTCTGAACCTGTTCACCCCACCACCACCACCACCACCACTACCACTACACACACACACACACACACACACACACACACACACACACACACACACACACACACACATTCTGAACCTGGGAGGTCTGGATCAGGCTAAACAATTCGACCACCTGGCCCCCTGGCCCGCCCCTAGGTGCCTCCGGACCCCTTCGTCTGGCCGCCCCTTCCCTGCACCCCTTGCCAGCCCCAGCTCCTCGTTTCTTTGTTCAAGCGTCTCTCCTCCGTCCCTCCCTCTCTCCTCCCTCTCTCCTCCTCCCGCCTGCCTGCCTCCCTCCCTCCCTTGCTCCCTCCCGCCAGTTTTCTTCCCCTCCTTCTGGGTTCTCCTCCTGGTGGGCTCCCAGGTGGCGGTGACTGTTCCTCCTCTGTCCACCCACCTGAGCTTATTCTAACTGGGGGCTTTTGGGGGGCTGGGGCTGAATGGGAGACATCAAGGGGCTGGCAAAGGGGAAGGGAATGTAGAAACCCCCATTCACCCCTTCCCTCTCTGTCCTTTTCTTCTTCCTTTTCTCTCCTCTCCCCCAGCCATAGGCTACCAAAGAGGGGACTTGGTCCTGAGTCCTCAGCAGACTTCAGCATCCGCCACTCACCTCTTTGAAGGGCCATAACACTGTGAGAGCTCCCTGCAGGGGCCCTGTGGGAAGGTCCTCTACTTTCCTGGATACCTTGGGTGATTCCAGATCCTTCTTTGGTGACCTGACTTTGTCACCATGAAAATGGATGCAGGAAAAATGAGGGCATGGGGGTTGGCAGTGGAAGGCAGGTTGATAAGAACCCACTGCTACATAGGATCAAAGCTCTCAGAGGGACTGCACCTTGCCCTCCCCAAGCCAGGATGCTATCTCACAGCTTCCCTGAGCCCCTCCCCACTTGCAGGTCAAGTTCTTGAGCAAACTCATGCTTGAGAGGACCTGTGTGGGCATGCAAGTGTGGATATGTATATAGCCAGGACTGTTTGTGGGGGCTAGTGCACCCCAAGGGTGATGGTGACTGAACAAGCTTTTCCTCCCACCTGCCTCTCCTGTCATATCCTGCTATTCAATCAGCACTAACTTTGTGCCCCCAGCAGACTAGGGGAGGGGCTGGTTCTGATTCTTCCTTCCCCTCCCCCAGATGGCCTCCTCAGGAGGGAGCATCTGGGACAGGGGCAAGCTTGAAGGAATGAGAGGTGTGCCAGGCACTCAGAGAGCACCACGTGAGGAGTAGGCCCTGGAGGCTGAAGCTGGACTTCCTGCCTGAGGAACCATGAGTGGTTTGCCTTGGCAGGAAAGGCAAGAGCTCAGGGGAGGTGGGTCTGGGGAGGGCATCAGGGTCTAAGAGTCTGCTGTGGAGCCTTAGCATGGGGCAGCCATGACCCAGAGTAACAGGCCACAATTCCCCCACCCCCATCCCAGGGTCCTAGAAATGGGCCCATGGTCCTGCCTCCCATGGGAGAAGGGAATAGATAGGGTAGATCTGGGGGATGGGGCTTATGTTGTCATTCTTGATGCCCCCACCCCCAATGCTTCCTGGTGGGGAGTTGGGAGTTGGCGCTGGTTTGTGCCGGGAGGGAGCAATATGTTCCAACAACTGGTGCTGGGCTTCGTTTACCCAACAGCCAGCCTGCCTGGGGAGACAATATTTGAAAAACACAGATATTGAAACTTGGGCCTGCTGGGAATGTGGGGGACTCTGAAGGGGACAATGCAGCTGGCTCAGACCCTGCTGCAGGCCCACAGGTCATTCTGGCACCCATTCTGAAAGCTTTAGGGGCAGAACTAGAACTTTTTCCTGGCAGGAAGTCCTTCTGCTTGTCTGACCTATGTCCTTCCTGCTTTGATTTTAGTAAAACTGAGTCCCGCTACTCTTTCCTCTCCTTTTTTGACTGGTGCTGTACTCTCTGCTTTGAGTTGTCTGCGTCCAGATGTCTCATTCATTCCCCCACCTTCTCATGTATTCCCTCCACCCCAATAATCAGGTCTAGATTTCCCTGCATTGGGAGGAGAGCTTTGGTAGGAGAAGGCAGGGATGGAGTCCATCTCTTCTTCATCCTTGAGGTGGGAGAGAATCCACTCTAGTGGTAGGTTCAGGGGAGAGATCCTACTGGGAACAGGAGAGGGCTTCGTGATCACATGCTTGTGCTGGGCCCCATGTATGGAATTTAGGGTGTGGTTAAGGGTAGGGTTTACGTCTCCATCTGCTTCCATTAGCTCTGGTAATTTCAGGCTACCCACTGTAGCCTGGTAACACTTCTCCAAAGACAGGCAGAAGAACATATATGAGGTTTGCACACTGGGGCATTCATGGTCCCAAGCTGAGGGTGTAAGCATGGAGACCCCATCACTTTTCTTACTCAGGCAGGGAAACTGAGGTACTTTGAGCAGAAATTAAACAAAGGAGATGTTGGTAGGGCTGGGCTCCCTTATATATGCCTTACACATTCTGATCTTGGTCCTCTTCCCAGGTGTCCAGAGAGCCTAGTCTGTTTCGTGGGCCCTTGGCCCCTCCCACAATGCTTGTCACTGGACTCCTCCTCTGGGCTTCTCTACTGACTAGGGCCTGGCCAACCACTCCCAACCAGGAACCCCTCTCAGCCACACCCCGGGTCCGGCTCTCATTCAAAGGTAAGAGACTACCTTGCTCCTTCCTAGAAATATCCTTTCTTCATAGCAGTTGACTCTACTGCACTGGAAAGAAAAGAGGGGTCAGGACAAAAAAGGGACAAATTGTATAGTCAGATGGGTTTTCTTGCATGTGAGGGGAAGGAGAATGGAGGATAAGGACTTGATGGGAAATGCTAGATATCGGAGCACTTAGACATTTTGGAAAAGGGTTCTGAATCTGGGCATCTGGATATATAGACTCTGTGGTCCGTGGTCTGCAGGGTGCTTCTCTCCGGGTGATAAATGGGGAGATGAGTATGTTATTCCTTCCACACTTGCCACTGCTCTGTTTGCTTGTGCCCTGGCAGCTCTTGGTGTAGAGGGTCAGACAATGAGGCCTTCCTGTGATCTCCAGGTAGCAGGGCTTCCCAGGAGACCTGGAGGGAGGGCACTGTTGGTTGTTACTGGCAAGGATTCATCTGACAGGTTTAGGGAAAGAACATTTTATTGTGAGAGGCCTCTGCTCCCCAGACCCCCAGTAAGTGCTTTCCTTGCCTAGGAAGTCACTAGGAGGTTTCAAACGATGATGGGTTTATGTCTGCAGAGTAAGAGGCTGGTCCCCAGCTCCTGCTAGGGCTAACCCACCTAGCAGGTGAACACATGGTGCACACACCCAGGAGGACTCATGGCTCACTTGATAGCCACCCTCTAGGAATGTGTGGTCTTTCTGGGCCTGGGGTTGGGGCAGTAGCTATGCTGGGACCTGGAGGACCTGGAGTCACTGCTGAGTTCTCAGCCGGCTGCCCTGGGTGGTGCTGACTAGCCCTGGCAGGCCAGATTTCCGGGCAGCCATATTGGGTGAAAAGCTGGGCTGACCTTTCCTTCCTCAGGCTTGGCTGAGGCCCAGCCCCCACCTCACCATGGCCCCTGGCAGGGCCCCTCCCCCTGCAACTTGGTAACAGGAATGGGGGAGTGAGTTACATATCATCGGCTTTTCCAGTCCTGACTTCTGGAATTTCTGAAGATGGGCCTGGAAGGAGTTCTCTGGAGGGCCTGAGGACAGAGGGCCTGATGAATGGGCAGAGAAGAGTTAATCAGTTTGGGTTAGAGAAGTGCCCCCCTTTCTCAGGCCTGGGAAGGTGAGATATTTATTCTACTGATACCTCCGCCCTTCCCTGGAGGAATTCCTCAGAGCAGATTAATAAATCTTGGAGGAATTGGTTCCCCCCTCAAACTCTCTCCCTGCCCAGGGTGCCTGCAGGCCAGTGGAGTGTCTCCTTCTCTACCACAGGAGAAGGAGGGGATTGGTTTCTACACCCCAGGACCTTGTGTCTACCCTGGGTGTTATTTTCATTACCATGCAGGGAAGCAGGGGGTGGGGGGGATGAAATTTAAGTTCTTTATGTAATTCTTTTAAACTTTCTCAGATCTCCAGGGGCAAAAGGGCAAAGGATTTGTTCCTCTTTTCCAGAGAAAGAAACTGAGGCACAGGCAAGGGCAGGGCCAAGGTCAGGCAGGAGGCAGAGGCAAGACCAGAAATAGAACCCTGGTGTCCTGGCCTTGTTGGTGCCCACATCACCTTGGGTCGATTCCCTCGCAATTAACTCTAAAGCCGACACCCACAGTGACTAAAAGCCCAGCTCATTGGCAGCTGGCCTACAGTGCTGCTTGCTATGGCAGCCTGGAGTGGGACTGGGAGATGCCTGCGGCCACCCCATCCCAGGCCTTCATACCTTTTCCCAGGCAGGTTCCGAGTCAAAATGACCTTCCTGTTCTCACCTGACCTCATGTCCTAGTTTTATGCTTAGATGTCACTTCAGTTTAGCAGATACTTGAGCCCCTATTGAGCACCCTGCCTTGTGCCAAGTCCTGGGGACTCTGCAGTAAATGATATTGGGTGCTCACAGGCAGACTGACTGAAAAGACAAGACACCCTGTTGGTCAGGGCCACTAGGAAACCCAGTGTGTACTGTGCACAAGTCCTGTATGACCTTCCCGCACTAAATGAACAAAGCAGGTTATGTATGCAGGAAGTGATTTTCAGTGAGGAAGAGGCCTTCAGCAAGTGTTTGTGGAGTGAGAATGAAGATTGATCGCTAAAGAAACTAGGGTTCCTACAACTAGACCAGGGGCTGGGAAAGAAGAATGGGAATCTTTTCTTCAGTGTTTCATATGAGGGGCACAGAGAGAGTTACTCTCAAAAGCGCTGTGGTCACTTGGGCTCTAGATTCAGTTTCTCCTTCCGTGTTTAGACAGATACAACAGCTGGCAACCCAGGGTTCAGGGGCCCAGGCTGGACCTCCCCTACTCCTGCTGTAGCTGAGAGGTGCCAGTTCTGGCTTAGGTAGAGTTAGACCCTTCCAAGGCAGAGGTGCTGGCATGAGGGAACTATACTGCCCAGGTCAGAAAAAGGAACAAAGGCAGGAACTGGGCCAGGCGTGGACTTACTGCCCACCCATCCGCCTAGGCACCCCAGCCAGGTCAAGAGCTGGGAGGGTGTAAGGGCAAAGAGATGGGTGTGAGCCCATCTCCTGGGCTTTCATCAGTAGCACAGCCAAGGTCAGGCACAGTGAGAGGTCAATGGGGCAGGTTTCCAGGAGCAGGTGAGGTGGTCTTTGCTCCTGGCTCTGGAGAGTTTGTGGATACCTGGGACTGGGGAGGCTGGGCAATAGGCTCTCCCTCACCATTTTCCCTTGGGACCCAGGGTTCCCTTGGCTCAGGGTTGCAGGCCAAGTCTGGGTGAAAAAAACCCTTCCTTCCCCTACACTGAGATGCTTCAGGAGCTGGGGCACCACCTCCCTCCTAGGCAGCAGCAGGGTGGTACCAGGCCCTGCCAGGTTCTTTGTTCAGTGTGGGGAGTGTTTACTTTTTCCCAGGAAGCCACCCCCAACACACTACTGCTGCCTGGGCTGCCAGATCTTAGGGCCACAAAGTATTTGTGGGAGAGAGGGATCTTGTAATGACACAAGCAGCTGGGCTACTAGGGAAACTGAGGCAGGAGTAGGGAGAAGGAGCAGAAAGTCACCTTGTGGCAGGGGATCAGGAAAGATAAAAATAATAGGGAAGAAAATGATGAGTGCCGATGATGATAGCCAGGCAGTGTCCCTCCCAGGCCTAAGGAGAGTCTGTCTGGCTTTCCCATAAAGAAGGAAACTCAGAGGGCTTCCCAGGTCCTTTAGCCAGAGGATTGAGGTTGAGCCTGGTTCTACATAATCCTTGACCCTGTCTCAGGACTGAGTGTGGAAGGCGGGGGTGCTAATGGCAACGGGCTGCCATGAGCTGGGGCTAGGGTTCCAGTATCCCTCGGGATTCCAGCTTCAGCCTTTCCAGCCTCCTTAAGAAAAAATCTGGAGTTGCACTGGGCAGGCTCCTCTTGCCTTCCTTCTGCTGACAGAGCTGAATTGGGATTTGTGAATTTCTGGTCTGAAAATTCAGTCCTTCCATTGAGCAGAGTCCCATAGAAAACCCTCTTTCATCAGAGATGGGAAAACCAGGACCCCAAAGAAGAAGGGGCTCCAATGTCCAGAATCTATCTAGATCCCAGCCCCTAGGAATAGCTGGCTCCTCAGTGAGGAATGAGATTCTTCAGGTGAAGGGTGAATAGACGGGGGCTAATCACTGTCCTCCACATGCCTCCGCCTACCAGCACAGCGCTACCACTCACATCATTTGCATGTGGCATCAGTGGACCAAGGTTACCAGGTCCTGTTTGGAAATGACAAGGTTGGATCAGTCACAGCTAAGTAACTTTACCTAATAGGGTGAAGGTGGAGGTGGAAGGACCTGCAGCAGGCCTTAACAGAGCCATGGCCCTGGCTTGGCTGCAGGGGTAGGGTTGGAGCTGGAAAGCTAAAGGGCCTGCCATGGCTCCCATGAGCTCCTTGGCCAGCCAAATCCTGCATTGAGCTCTGAGGCCAGGGGTAGCACCAGGGAGCTGGGCAGGGTTCAGGTGACTTCGACAGCTACGGTGGAGTTTGAAACTGACAAGCCAGGGAGGGTTGGGTATTCCAGGATGAAAATTGACTTTGGAGAAAGTAGAGACAGGGTCCTTGTGATTGTTGAGTAACTTGTAGTAGGTCCAGTCTGAGGTAGCCAGGCTGGTGGCCATGGCCTTCAGCTGGGACCCTTCTAGTCTAGCCAAGCTTTGGATGGGACTGCTGCACTGGTTAGGCCTCTGCAGCACAGGCCTTGTCTCTGACTCTGGCATGTCGCCTGCCCCACCCTGCTTGGCTCCAGCTTCCCTTGGCACTGAGTGAGGAGCTGGTGCATGCTCAAGGAGTAAATCATGTTCTCTGGCAGCCCTCATAGCTTTGAAATCATAAAGAATTTAAAGAGAAACCACCAAGATACAAATCTCACTCTAGCCCCTAAAGGCATCTTTCACCCTGTGGCTTGGGAGGCAGTGAGCCTTAGAGGGGCTCTTGTCTGCCTGTACCTGTGTGTATACCTCTGTCTCCTTGGCCCCTCCAAAGGTGGTGATACCTCAGAAGGTGGCTTCAGGGACATGGCTTCCTTGCCCCTGACTCCTGGGAGCCCTCCAGTTCCTCCCTCAGAGCAGAGTAGGGCACCTAGATAGTGGTGGTGGTACCTGATTGGCCCTGAGGGCAGACAAACCCCAATTCTATCTTTGTTGCCTGTGTGGCCTCAGATGAGTGACTTAGCCTCCCTGAGCCCTGGTTTCCTTTGTGTAAGGTAGGAATGGCAGTGGTGCCCTGGAAGCAACATCCCAAGGGCTCAGGTTGCCCTGCTTGCATCCTGGCTGCAGGAAGATCTGAGAGTAAACTTGTCTGTTTCCACTGCCTCCTGGAAAATAGGGATGAGAATAGTCCTGCCCTCATTGTGTCGTTGAGAGGATTAAATATGAATTCTATTACTGCCCCAGCAGTGGAGGAAGTGTCAGTGGCCAGGACAGTGGAGACATGTGAGGGCTGAGTGCTGTGTTTGTGGGTGGGGAGGTGGCAGGGGGAAGGCTGGCTCCAGCGTGTCCTCACCTCTACCTCCAGAATTCTAACCTTTGGTTA